ATTGTTTCTTATCCCGAGAGTCCCGACCCTTGGGGGGGTCGCGTTTGTTATTAAATGGGGTCGCAGCGTGTTGAAAAATATTAAGACCTCGAAAGATTCGTTTCACGTAGTGATGCGCGACTTTACTAATTCGACTACTAATTATTCGAATATGCAATTCATTTGGATTATTCGAATGATTTTAAAATAATTCGACTACTAATTTCATCCGATTATAAATTTCATTTATTATACGGTTCTACTGATAGCTAAAAAGTAACCGTAACGGCAAGAATCTGATCGTACTTTACTCGCTTGTTGATTTGTTTTATTTCTTTTAGAACTACTTTTTGTTATATGTTTACCACTGTTACAGCATTAGGTTTATCATCTTATATAATGTTCATCCGATTTCTAATTATCATAATATATATATATATATATATATATATATATATATATATATATATATATATATATATATATATATATATATATATATATATATATATATTTTTTTAATTCAATTCACTCATAATCTTATTTTCTGATATTGCTCACAACTTGGGTTACATGTTTGTTTTTATTATTTACTTCATTTTCTCGCACTGTATAATTATGTTAAAGTGAATGCTATGAATACCCATAATAGGCATGTGCATTAATATTGTATTGTATTTAATGTTTGTTATACATATATGTTATAATGCAATATGCTGTTGGTGTTCCTTAAATAAATAAAATGATAAAATTCGAGTAATAACGTGATTGATCTATTGTATGGGATGAAAATGGAGTGGTAACCCTTACATCTCCTCAGGAATGGCAACGCATGGGGTGTATTATGGGCGAAACAGTATACTCTGTTATGTCCATGGCACTGCTCATGTCTATAGGCGTCGGTTATCACTTTCCACCAGGTGGACCGTCAGTTTGTTTGCCATTCTAATTCTAAGTTGCATAAAAAACAGTTTAAGTATGCACTGGAGAGTTACCAGTGAGTTATGTTAGGATGATGGATGATGGATAGCATCATAGTGATGATATCACCAGGAATTAACCACGATTGTTAAATTATCAGGGTATATTATTATTGATGGGGTCGATAGTCTCCACAACCAAAAATGCGCTTCCTTGAGCTACTTATATTGTATACAATTGTGTTTTGCGGAATTTTGCCACCTATAACTGTTCATCAACTTTTGTAATGTATTTTATTATAAAAAAATTATTGTACATAATTTACATTGGACACATTAAAATATTTAATATACAATGGCGGACTTATCCTACAGAGGGATCTCTTACAGTCAACCTTTGAGAAGTTGCTTTGGAACTTTTTTGATGCTGACTGTACCGACAAACGGTAAGACAAAAGGTGGATAAGAACAACGGTTGCCGTTGCAATGCCGTTCCGGGTCGCCGCGTGATACGGACGCCATCTGGTGGCCGCACCTGGTATAGGGTCAAATATGATTTATAATATGGGGAGATGAATAACTCTGGATTGTTTTTATAACTGCTTATTTTTTAAGTAACTTACAATGGCAAAAAAGCTGACGGCTAAACGGATGATTTCTCCGTCTATTTTTAAATAATTTTGAATATTATTCCTTTATACGAAAATATAGATATAGATATATATATATATATATATATATATATATATATATATATATATATATATATATATATATATATATATATATATATATATATATATATATATATATATATATATATATATATATAATGTATATCAATAATTACTAGTACCGCAATCGAGTATTCTGACACTTCCCTGGGAGAAAAATGCTTTTACCATTAAGTTTGCCATGTACACATATTTGTACTAATGAATAAATAAATAAATAAAATAGATAGTCTTATTGTTGTACAATATATTTATTATATTTTTTTTCTTTAATGCACCACTTAAAGAAAAATATATATGGGTAAAACAATCTCTTCCATACAACCTATGGGTAGAGGACAAAAAAAATATTATACCTATCTTTTGTGTTGGTATCTGTTGAGATAAAATTAAAAAAAAAATTAGCCTAAATTATTTATGATACATTTTTTATCACTCTTACCTTTGTTACATAATTTGGTTGTATGATGTATTACATTCACCTGATTGTTATCAGTCGTCATATATGGGCATACATTTTTATGTATTTTCTTATGAATTTATATAACCCATACATACATGTATATAACCATATGTTATTCAGTCCGCATTCATATTTGAAAACAAGCAGCGCATACAAATAAATGTTGACGTACAACGACACGGAATATCGGATTGTAAGTAGAACGAAAATTTAGAATCGTCTAAAATATGGCATATCCTCTATAATGTAGGTGCCTCCGATCAAACTGTTTATAATTACTTCTCTCCATCCAAAGGTTGCCTGGAAGAGATCGCTCTTAGCGATAAGTCCGCCCATTGTTTTCTCATTGTGATTATTTCTTATAATTGTTTATATTTATAATAAGTTTACTATTGTAATCTTTTGGAGGAAACAATAAAGAGTAAATATATCTATCTAATCTTTTTCTTTTCTTTCCCGTGGGTGTCGTTAGGGTAATTAAGGGAACTTAACGGTCGAGGGATGGGCAGCAGTGTCCTTTTTAAAACATCACCAAAAGCCAAATTGCATTTGCTAACCCATCTGCCAAGCGTGGCAATTATTAGCAAAATCTTCTAATGGTAAATTGCCATGAGGAGCGTCCGTGCCTTATGGCAGTCTATGGGGAGGTCTGTGTTCAGCAGTGGACAGATAGCTTGGACAGATGTGATGATGATGATAATAGTGAGTCCTGGCTGTGAACTTGTAATTATCATAATACATTAATGGATAAATTAATCCATTAATCATTAATCCATAGAGAAAAATGTCAACGTATTTTTTTTTTTTTGTAATGGGTGAAAATGGTATGGTTACCCCGCCTGCGCTAACAGGATACGCTGATGGAGCACCAGTGAAGGGTGATCGATGAGAATGAAAACAGTTCAGTTAGCCCATCATGATGAATTCCTCAGGAATTAACCATGATAGTTTCGAGGGGGAACCGCGAGGAGGTCGACCTGGTTGGGTATATTGCTAGCAATGGGATGCTTAGTCTTCATTACTAATAATGTCTTTCCCCCCAATGTCAACGTATTAGGCACGAGTGTTACGGGGGGGGGGGATTATAAGAGATTTATGACTCTGTTACTAGCAATAGCAATATACGCTATCAGGTCGACCTCCACGGGGTACCATCTGATAATTCCTAGTGAATTAATCACGAAGAGTTGACTGACTTACCTTTATCCCCATTCATCATCCTTCACTAGTGACAGTCAGTGTATACTAATAGCGGATTTTTTAATTCGAGTTTTTCGAAAATGCACGAGAGAGCTTCGTTGCGCTATCTCTAAGGATATCTTCAAAAAATAAATTATAGGTTGTCACTGTATAGACTAATGTACTCATTGTATTCAATCTTTAAGTATTTGAGAATCAATAAAGAACTTTTTTTTTTTTTATACAACTTAGAATGGCAAACAAGCTGACGGCCCACCTGATGGAAAGTGGTAACTGTCGACTATAGACATGAGCAGTACCATGGACATAACAGAGTATACTCTTTCGCCCATGATACACCCCATGCGTTGCCATCCTTGAGGAGTCAGGTGTTATTCCTCTGTACTCAGTAAATTTACGCCATATCCCATCCTTCAAACCGAAACACAGCCATGCAAACACAGCTGTTTCACGGTAGAAACACGAATGGGACAGAGGTATCCAAGCAATCGACTTTTGTACAAAGTCTCCGTCTTCAAGTCATTTTAATTTTGCAACAATTTCTTTTAATGTCTTTTAATAAATAGATTGATTAATTTAATTTTGTTATTTGATTTGAAGTCTTATTAATATAAATACATTCGAAAATTTATAACGATACAGGGATGGATGTTTGTTACTCTTTCACACAAAAACTACTGAACCGATTTTAATGAAATTTGGTACACAGGTGGGTTATATTCTTGCTTAGTATATAGGATACTTTATGTATTGATACACGCGAACAAAGCCGCAGGATATACCTAGTACTCCATATTTGTAATGATGATATTTGACAATAGGCTATGATACGGAAAATAAGTCAAATTAAAAAAGGGTCCAAGTATAGAATATAGAATGTTACGTATTTACATAGTTGTAAAGGTAAAAGTATGTTAAGGAATAAAAAATATACATAATAAAGTTATTTTTCGCTGAAATTACATCATTATTAAAAATACTTCGATCATTCGTCAATAGGCTGGTACCTTGGTCTTTTAAAATAACGACCTCGATGGTAATGTATTAAATTATATTTCATTCTACTAAATTAGGTAATTATGTGATACGTGCTGTTTATAAGAACTTTGTAAATTATTTTAATATTTGGGAAATATGTTTAGTTCTATTAACATTTTATATATATTTTTTTTTCACATCGACATTTCTACATATATCATACTTATCATCATAATTAATGTGTATTAAATACAACAAATATTATAATTTAAGAGTTTTAAACATCCATGACCCAAATAAATTAATTACACCCAGTTTTAATATTCAATAAAACACAAGTGTTCAATGCTGGTGTACTGAAGCAGTAAACGGATTCAACACCTACACGATTAAATACCCATTTTCAAACTATTTACAACATCACATAAAATTTGAACGACCGTTTTGTTACACATAGGCAACATATTCATCGCGCCTTTGTCGATTCCGATAGATACACACACTGTATCTGTAAATATGTGAAAACAAATCCTAAGAAACCTGTCCTGGCTTAGATAGACGATAAGTTGCAAAAACAACAAAAATCAAGCCTCCAATATTGCGTTCATGTCCAAAAATATACATCGATGCGACATCCTACAAAACACAATTTATTTTCGTAAGATACTATAAAAGGAACTTGAAAAAACAAAAAGAGCGTTAATTGAAATCAATAAGACGGCTTACCTTGATAATCCGTATTATATTTTGACAGCTGGTGCACGTCAACAAAGCAAACAATAGCCATGCACTTGTCTAGGCGTCGTAATTACCTTTTACAATTCAGAATTTAAATTCACACAAACTGTCACTGCTTACACTTTCGAAATTTGAATTCAAAATTTCGTAAGTCGACCACTGGCGACCGTGTGCACTGAATCGTTTGTTTCGAGTTTTTGAAAATGGAACGTCGAACGCACCGCGGCGTGCGCACGCGTACAGAATCGCGCGCAACACTGACTTGAGAATGGTCGGCCATTTTCTTAGCGCGTGGTGGGAGAGGCACCGAAATAGGAAATAAAATGGAAAAGAAGGCAGCCTTAGGTCTTACAAACAAGCCTGATCATTAAGCCCTAGAAGTCTTTAGGTTCGCGTATAAAGAGAAATAGGCTTGAATCTGTTTAGAAAAAAAAACTTCTACGTTTGACATGGAATTATATAATACCTTTTGGGCTTTTGTGCTTAAATTGAAAGACGATGGTTATAACTTTAAACATTAAGATAGTATCACTTTGTTTGGTACTAGCCAAGAAAAGAACACGTAACCTAGATTGTGGTCTGATATTGATATTCATATTAAGCTTTAGTTTAAAATAATTATATCAATTTTAGCTTTAGCCATTCAGTATATTTAAAAAGGATATTTTTGATACAGGTTTGTTTTTTTTTTTATTTGTTTATACTGTAATAGTAACATATAAAAATGCAGTCCATGAAATACTAAACTGTTATCGTAGCTTGTAACACAAAAAAACATAGTGCACGTTCCCGACCTTGAAAAAACCTTGGTTAGTTTTTTGAAAAACTTCATGCTGTAATCTTATTAATAGTATGTCAATCTAAAAGAATATGTAACTTAATCAGAGCTAGAATTCATAGATCTTCTATTTTTTCTAATTTCAGATCTAAGCTCTTCGCCTAAGTGAAGAAGGTAAGAAAAGCTTAGATCTATTAGAGCATGGTAAGAATTCTACTTAATAACTGGTATATTTTTTATTCGAAAATTAAAATTCCTTACCTTACTAACCTGCATATTCACCTAAAAGAACAAATTAAGAAAAACTTAGTACAAATAGACCACAGTTAGAATTCTGATACAAATATAGGAATTCTTACATTCTACATGCACTTCCTCAGAGCATAGCCAGTATCGTCATATCATATCATCCTTTAACTGTCCACTGCTGAACATAAACCTTCCCCTTAGGGGGTTTTGCCAGTAGTTGCCATGCTTGGTAGGCGGATTAGCAACTGCAGTTAGTTTTTGGAGATGCTTTAAGAGGGACGCTGTTGCCCAACCCTCGCCCTCCCTTAGTCGCCTCTTACGACACCCACGGGAAAACAAGTATGGCCTATTCTATGTCGGGACCACACGGCCCAGAACATAGCCAGAATATTCAGTTGTAAACAGGAATCTTCAGACCTACTACGAATTCTCTTTCCGATCACGTGTTTCCTCCTACCTGTAATCCTGTGGCATTTAAGCGGGGAATGAAGAGATGCATTTGTAGGCTGTCAAAATAACAATCGTTAACACAGTATAAATTCCTTCGATGGCGACACTTACATTTGGACCACATTGCTTGCTTACCATCAGGTGGGACGTGGTCACTTTGATTAACTCCTATAAAAGAAAATTTCGTCTAAAGATATCGTTAAGAAAAGTGTAAGTATCTCCGATCGTAGCTTGATAAGACCGCCTTTTGTACCTTTATGTGTATATTTCAATCTGTATTTATGTTACTGTATTTCACTTGAATTATTCACTTGTCATTGTATATTTTTGTTCATGGTGCAATAAAGAGTTAAATAAATAAATAATGAGTACTACATTCTCTATTCCAAGTAATATGTATATACCAAATTTAATGACAGTCGCTGATCGCCGTTAAGGCGCCGAGAGGCGACAAGCAAACAAATTCATAATATCTATTTTCCAATTTTATTTAAGAGACCCCAATCAAAATTCATATAGTTGTAACTTAACTACTTCGAATTCCATATTTGCTCACATTACTTTAGAAGGCGTTTTCAGTATCGGTATTAGGTTATACTAATGTTAGTTATTAAAAAGTTGCATTTCAAACTAAAAATCAAAGTTTTATTGTTATAAATTTCGAAAGCACTATATTTTATATTACATTATATTTTATTGTAATGTTGTAATAACTACCGGTTTAATTTACTACTAAAAAAGATTGAATGTCAGTTAGGCTCGCGCTCGCATCACAGTGGCTCATGACTAAGGATCACGAATTGATCTCGAAAAAGAAAAATAAATTTTATCTATGTAAAAGCAAGTCTAAGGCGAATATTATTATATCTAACAAGACAAAATGAATGAAACATATTTAGATGAACATCGCCGTTGATAATAAAAAATAGAAAATAAAAAAAATCAGAGTTCCTCAAATAGTAAACTGTTTACAATTCAATTAATAAATTTAGGATTTTTGAAAAAGAGCACAGAATTTTAAATCGAGGAATTTTTCTAGCAACTATATTTAGCTTAAAACTCAACTACTATTATGGCAACTATTGGCAAAACCCACTAATGGGGGGGCCTCTGTTCAGCAGTGGACAGTAACGGCTGATATAATAATGATAATATAAAATTAATCAGAGCCAGATAGATGAGATAGATATATATGTACATATAGACATCGCTAAAAATTAAACATAAATATTAAAAATCATATTTATTTTATTATTATAGTTTTGGTATAATATAAATTGTAATCTAATAACTTTTTTGTAGAAATTCTTAAACTATATTTATTTAATAATTTTGTAATTATAAGAGTATTGCAAAAGTAAGTAGAACGCCATCTATGTTTAGTGGCTATTTATCTTTTCCAGCTTACGTGAAAAGCTTCGTATAGTTTTATCGTTAAAGGATAGATGGCGTATCTATCGGTTATGTTTGTGATTTGTAGTTATAAATTGTAATTGGGGGAGAATGGATTATTAGTAATGGACGTTAGTAACTCCATTGCTAGCAATGTGCTCTGTCAAATCTACCTTCACGCAGTTTCCCTGGAAATCATCTTGACTGATTTATTATTGAAATCTTCATGATGGGCCATCTGGCCTACTTCAACTTCACCTATCATCCCCCGTTGGTATCCTACCAGTATACCGATAGTCCTGGCATTGATTGGACCATTACTTCTTTTCCGCAGATGTCGTGACAGGCAACTAAGGAAGCTACATTTAATTAATGAAACTAAAAAATTGAATCTATGCAACCACCTTGAAGTATCAACATATAATAAAATACTGGTAACACTTCCTTTATGGGGAAGGTGTATGTTCAGCATCGGACAGTTAAGGGCTAATATGACCATTAGTTTTTGCTCTGCAAAAATAAGAGTTTGTAATTGTGCATCAAATATAAATTGGTAAAACCTATAATGTAGCTATTGCGAATACCCGCATAATACACAATTTCTTCATATCTAAAATGTGTCAAATATTCACGAACTAATTTAAAAAATGTTTTCTAATTTTGTTGTATACATTAAGTACCAATGGTGAGTGTTCATCAACTGTGTTTTAATATAAAATTGATTTATTTTGATAAAATATCAAGAAACCAATGGGAGACTTCGTATTAGTTTTTTTTTGCTTAGATATCTTTTTCCTATTCTAGTTTTTACCGTGAAGCAGTAGTGTTGCTTTGTTTCGGTTTGAAGAGTGGGATATAGTAGTGAAATTACAGAGTACAGAGGCATAACACCTTAGTCCTCAGGAATGGCAACGTATGAAGGGAAATCATTAGCCATAATAACAAGCCATGGACATAGTATACTGTGTTAGTACACTCTGTTATGTCCATGGTACTGTTCATGTCTATTGACGAATATAAGTTGCGTATTTTTTTTTTTAAATATTACCATTATTATTATAGCATTACCTTTCTTTGATAAAAACACTTTCCTATTAATGTCATTATTAATGTTAATAATCAACAAGGAAGAGTTTGAAATAAGTTTTGTTAGTGGTTATAACAGAACTGTCAAACTATGTTCCCTAATTTCATCTCTATGTTTGGATCGGGAGTTAATAGGGAATGAGTAATGCTGAACATATCATACATAGCGCCACCTAGCTTCAGACTAAGTAGTGCCTTACATTATGAGTATTAAAAAAAAATAAGAGAGAGAAAGAGAGAATGAGGAACAGCCTCTAAAAAATGAAGCCCAGAGAGAAATAAGGTAGAAAAAGGTGCCACGCCAACATACACAGACCACCCGTGTATGTCGGCTTAAAATCAAATGACTCGGAGGTGGTAGCCTCCGGGGTTGAAGCTGGGGCAATGGGGTACGCTCCGAGGCGTCTACCTTGCCCACCTTCCCAATCGGCGGGACAATGAGAAGGCCTGATTAATTAGGTAATTATGAGTATTATACTAGATAATTGAAATATATATTTAAATACTTTTTCCTGTAAATATGTACTAATTATGCATAGAAAATACCCAAACCAACAAATAAACATGCACATGAATACAAATGTTTGTGTTATGCGGGGATCGAATTCGGACCTGTCGGAAGATTAAGCAGTATCTTGTGCCATTATATCACCAAGATCATCAATAATGTTCTTTAAAAAGGGTATTTTAAGGTTCCTTCGGAGTTCGTAACGTGGACGTGATACCCTTAGTGTTGCAGGCGTCAATAGGCTACAGTGACCGTTTACCATCAGACGGGCTGTATACTTGTTTGCCACCTTTGTCGTGAAAATAAATCATATAACATTTTCATTATTTTATTGTTTTATACCACTGAGGTGGCAAACAAGCATACGGCCCACCTGATGGTAAGTGGTTACCGTAGTCTATGAACACTTTTGTTACAATATTGTTACAATAAATAAACCACTAATGAAAAACCAGCGTAAGTGAGTGTAAAATTAAAATTTAACACCCACTATTCAGTATGTAAATAGATAAAAGTATTAAAAATATTTGTATACCCAACTGATGCGTATTTGAGTGAGTGTTTGCTGTTTGCGAACATTCGAATGAGCATAAAAACCAGCTTTTATCATCAAAATATTTAGCAAATTTTTTAATACATATAAAATGTCGATTGGTATATTTAATTTAAATGGTATTTTAATCAGCGTGGTTGTTTTGTTAAATTGTATTTTATTGGTACTTGTAAAATGCCAAGAGGTCGACACAATCAGCCTTCTGGAAGATGCTTGTGAGTATCTAGAGACATAGTA